ACACAAAGAATTATTTGCATATGTTTCTTTCTTTCTCGCCTTTTTTCTTCTTATAAGAATTTAAGTCACATAAGGTATCATTAAAGGTAGAATAATTTAATTTCCTGGATGTTAGCTGTCGTTCTGCTAGATGCAGAGTTTTATGAAAGGACAGGCTGACAGCTCTGTTCCTTATTTTATACATTTAGTTTTAATTTTGAATTTGCAGGAGGGAGGTGTCATGTTATTTCCATAAGGATTTTTAACCACTTCCACAAAAATACCATACAGCTGCTGGTGCAGAATAACAGATAAATACAGGCTGAAGGAGTCTGACATGACTTTGACCTTGCACTTGATTTTGTACTGTTCCTTACAATTATCGTATATTTTAAAAGATAGTTTCAGTGGTTAACAATTGAATTATCTGCCTTTTGAAAGCAGTTTATAGTAAAGCCAAGGAGAACTTACGTTCGAATGACAATCATAAAGCTGTATCCAATAGTCCCAACTCCAACAAGGAAATAAGAAAGAGGCATCCTGAACTTGAGCCATCCAATTGTCCTCTGGTTATTGTAATACCCATAAAAGAGTACAGAATATTGTGCAAAGCCCTGAAAAGTTAGCAAAAATTACAATGTCACATCTGACATTCTAATTTGCACATAATCAGAAATGGTACTAATAGCAATGTACTGCAATATTCATTTCAATGCATTCAGAACAGTTGTGTCACCACAATAAATCTCACAGAATGGTAACTCTCTCCTTTAATTTAGAATAACTTAGAACATTTCATGTTAAATTTCAAGTCTTTTATCTTTAAAAATCTTAACTGGTACTCCATCTACAATTTATTTTTTCATCCATATACTCCTTCTTGTAAATGCAAAAGTATTTTGATTTACAAAATCTGGTTTACAAATTACTCACAGATAAAATGCAAGATTTTTAACTTATTTTTTCACATTTCTAAATTTTACTTGCATAGCCTATCTTAGGGCTTTTTAGTATGGAGAAGACTTAGGGGGGATCTAATTAATGTGTATAAATATATGCAGGCTGGGTGTCAGGAAGGAAAGGGAAATCTCTTCTCACTTATGCCCTGCAACAGGACATGGGGTAATGGTCACAAGCTGGAGCACAAGAAGTTCCACCTCAACATGAGGAAGAACTTCGTTACTGTAAGGGTTCCAGAGCACTGGAACAGGCTCCCCAGGGAGGTTGTGGAGTCTCCTTCCTTGGAGACTTTTAAGACCCATCTGGATTCATTCCTGTGTGACCTGCCCTAGACTAGATGGTCCTGCTCTGGCAGGGGGGTTGGACTCGATGATCTCTGGAGGTCCCTTCCGACCCCTAACATTCTGTGATTCTGTGATCTTATATAAAATGCTCATACACCTTCTGTCGAACAACGTTGTCTGCTGCTCATTGGGTGATAATTCAGTATACATTAGCCAATAGTTACTTTCATTTTATGGATGATTATCCAGTATGCCGGGATTTTCAACATTTAGACTCCAAGGCTGTAAAATGCAGGATGTTAAGTGTACCTTCTTTTTCAGCGATTAAAAAGGTATCTCCTGTTCTAAAAATCTCAGTGAGAGTTACCCTCTCTTCTATGGGTCAGATTGCGTATTTTTCACAGTAATTTACAAGTACACTATTAATATTGTAAGCAATTGCTGGTATCTAATACAACTGAAATAGGTAAAGCTTCCTGATAATCCTCAGGTTAGAAGAACTCACCTTCTAGAAGAAGATTGTATCCAAAGCTTTTACAAGGACAACTCAGCACATACAGAGCAGTGACAAAGCTCCAGCTGGATGTAATGATTTCAAGTCAAATACAGAGTATTTGAGCCATGCATTATTTTGATACTAATATGGTAAGGTGAGGGGTTTGTGAATTTAAAAAGCCATTCACTTCCCTGCTGCTTTTTAGTAGCTCACAACTTAAAATCTTTCTCTTATACATTATTGCAAAACATGAACTTAATTTATCGTCACTTTTACCATATAAGAAGTGAGTCACTGTGTTACCTGGAAAACCTAATTCACAATTCTAAGTTGAAAATGAAATATTAGTATATCATAATCACAAATATTATTTAAAATGCCTGGATTTGGTAATTAACGTATCTCATTTTTCTTCCTATCAGACTAGCTTTGAGAGGTGTGCCTCACATGACAGACAGTACGTTCTTCTCCAATAAGGGAAATGTTGTTACAGAACACATTTACTACTAATTACTAGTAAAACACCTACACCAGTCAGGACACATTCAAATCCAACAGTATGTCTATTCTATCTTTTTGCTTATTAAAGCATCCTATAATGCCATTTTACCCCAGGTTTCAATACAGCCTAATACAGCTCTGGGGAGTCTTTTGGATCCCTCAGATTATGAAGATGTCAGAGAGAATTCTTCTGCTGCATGTCAGTCAGTATGCTGTTTCTTGGGCTCTGCCTACTGCATTTCACCATCAGACTTGAAATATCTTTAACTGTGTAAAGGCAGGCATCCATGGCAGATCTCTGTCACTTTTTTCTGAGCATAACATAAAAAAAAAGTCTGAGATAAGAATATTAGTCAAATGTTTTATTGTAATGAGCCTTGAAAATCTGATTTTTTTAGGTTTGGATAATTATCCAAACTGTAAAATATGCAACGTTAAAACTGAATGGCAAGTTAAAATAAAGCCAAATCCAAAACCATTTCTTTTTGCATGTTAGTCAAATGAGTACAATTTCAAGCACAAAAAAAGCAAAAGATAAATTGAGCTTGTCTTTTCTTTACTGTCTTAAAGATTGGTGAGTTTGGTTTTTTTTTCAAGATTAAATAATGTTTATTGATGTGGGTTCCTTTATTTGTAGCTTACTCGGCAGCATACAAGAACTGCTACAAAATTAAAAGTACTGTTTCCTGTGCTGTGTAATTCAGATGTCATCATCTTCAGGGAGTATGTGTCAATCTGGTGTTTCAAGAAAATTCTTTTTTTCCCTTCCATGTTTCAAGGAATCCATCTCTTTCACTGCCCAATTCTGTGTTTATTACCTGTGCATTTAGTCCTTGTATTATCTGCTACTCTGTTATTTACTATAATTTCCTCTTCAGAGCTGTCAGAGCGTGTTTCTAAGTTACTATAAACCTCCCCCCTCTTTCCACTATCTGTATTTATTAATAATTCCTAAAAAATACTTCTTTTTAAAGCTTTGTTCCCATTTGCTGTATAAAGCTCCTCTAGCCTCTGTTCTCTTTACAAACTTTTCAAGTTATCATGATTTTTTTTTGCCAATATCTCCCTGATGTTTTAATTTCTCATTCTATAATATAAGCATTTTCTAACTTTCCAGCTGCATCTCTACATGTGTTCTTCCTTTCACTTAAATACACAGATCCTGATGAACCAGACACAATGCAGTTTTATGCAGAAGTCATTGTGAAATTTTATGTACATGGATTTTTAGAAAGATCTTTCTCTCCTTTTGTGTTCAAGGAGAGTCCACTACTTTATGTGGCAAAATAAAGCAGAGGGAAACTGTTTACTTTACATACTTTTACAGTCAAAATACAGAAAAATGTTGTAATTTCTGCCTATTATTATATTAGTTTCTTTAAAATCCATTGTCCACAGTTAAGAAACCTGCAAGATTTGCTTGTAAATGAGAAAATGGGTATATCTAGTCAAGTTTTTCCAATGTTCTGTTGTCTTACAACCTGATTTTTCGTCCACTGATAGCTGAAAAAGGAAAATAGAGCCAAGGAAGCTAAATAAAGGAGTAAAATCTGGCATCATCTGAGTATCCACTTGAAGCTATTGAGCCACAAGCCAAGGGATCCTGTTTGAGAACTGTCTGATATAATATTAGAGACCACTCCACACATTGATCATACTGAAAAATGTCAATATTATTGAGAACCATAGGCACCATAACCTTTTTATATTTTTTTTATAAGAGATCAGAGCTGGCCATGGATTAAAATCTGCCCATGACCCTCATGGGATTGCCTGTGTGGAGCTCCACACCAGCACAGGTGGAACAGGACCTCACATGGACAAAACCTACAGGGAGAGGCCACATTTAGATAAGTTGTTCTGCAAACAGCTGGAGAGGCTGAGCTGTAAACTGGAGCAACCTGCGCTTGAGTTTATTTTTCCAAGAAATGTGTGTGCTTCCAACAGCATATTCATGCTTGCTATTGCTAGAACAATTCAAGTGCTAAAAGATATGTATATGCATAATTCTCTAAAAGTCTTGGAACTTCTTGCAGAAGGAAGAGTGCAGCAGATTGAGAGAGAAATCACACTTAGTTCAATGGATGCTGCTTCCATTAATCTGAAGGAAACCTTAAGTAGATGGTTGCACCCTTTTACAGGTGAAGAGTAACTTTTGATGACATTGATTGCATGCCACAGGAAAACCTAGCAGCCTTCTAAGCAACATATTGTAATACCCAATTTATCATCAGGTGACTTTATGCAAAGTGTATAAGCTTTATCTAGAATCTTTATATAAACGTCTTCATCTTTATATAAAAAGTCCAACTATAGAGACATGCCAAGTGCAAAATTAGATAAAATTGTTGTTTTCGGGAAGAAAGAGCAGTATGCCATATTTAGGCATATACCATTAACTTGTCAGTACAGGAGTTATAGATCCACAGGCTAAACTGGGCATCACACCAATAGTAAAGATTTCAGACATGCTTCTCAATTCAGCCAAAATATCTGCATATTCTGTAAGGCTGATAAAACCTTGAGCTAGCATTCTTTGTTTTAGAAAAAGCCTACAGAACACATTCTTGGAATCTTTTTTTAAAATTCACACTGTATCTTCAAATTTGGAACCTTAATCATATGAAAATGGAGGACCAAATTTACCCATAAGGAATGGAAAGTCAGTGCCCAGAGATGTAAATCCACCTTTGAGATTTTTTCCCATTTGTCTTTAGACAGTGCTACTTGCACTGAAGTGCGCATGTGGACATCTGTCTGAAGGAAACATCCATATTCAGAACTGGGGGGGAGGGGAAGTAAATTAATTCTATTGCCATTTTCTCCTGAAATGTTTAATACTAAGTCTGTCAATATTAAATAACAAAGTAAAACCCCACAATAATCAGAGTCATGCAAATATGCAGTATTGTAATTTTATCCACTTACACTAAAATCCCAGAGAGTAGCAAAGTTCATAGCACTTGCTTCTTCAGCTCTTGGGACAGTTTTTCTAGGTAAAGAGCCATATGGTTTCCCCATCAAAGCCTGGAACCAAAAAATGAGACAAATTTACATTTTAAAGAAAAAATGGCAACAAAGGGAAGCAACAGTGATCTGTCATTTCCTAGAAAGACTTGTCTTATGGTTCTAAACTCCTTAGTGAGGATGACCTGTGTCTCCAGTTCTTTTCATTACTTCTGACAATAATGATTGAAACTGTGTTTAAAGTATGCATTAATGGTGTTTTCTAAATTTAAAGTGATGTTCCACTATCAATGGATTGTCAAACTGTGCCTCTTGCACTTAAAAGCAACACAGAAGCTCACATACCCCTGATGAGTGGTGTTTGTCTTACAGATAAGACCAGAAGAGTGTTTTTTCTTGCATTATGGTTTTTATTGGGTTTTTAAACTAAAATGTATGGAAAGATGTTAAGGATTCAGAGGGTCTCACTGCTGCTGGAAAGATGTTTGCTCAGCCACAGTATATGTCCTTTCCAGCCTTTACACTAAAAACTGCTGGGCATTTCCTCTGGTTTGGCTTCAATGGAAGATGTATCATGCTATAGAAATGCTGTATTAGGAAGCTACTCAAAATCCTACCTGACTCTTCTCAGTTTGCTTACCAGAAGATAAGTAAGAGGATATGGAACACTGAAATCAGGGAGATGGCGCAATGCTTTTAATTCCATAGAAGCCCACTATTTAGGAAGACAATATGGTGGCTCAAAGGAACTAGAAAAGTGTTACATTTCACAGAAGTGATTTCTGCCTGAATTACATCTGCTCTGAGGAGCATTATTAGCAGTAATGCATGAGGGGTCTCTCACATGACTTTACAGTCCTGTGGGGCCTTATCAGTGTATGAGTATTAAGGCAACTGAAAAGGATCCATGGTGCCTCAGAGGACTGAAAGGTTCTACTGCAGTACACATTTTAGTCAAGGTACTCCACTTGGCTGCTGCTTAGTCTCAGTTCCTCGTCTTAGTCCTCCATTAAAAACAAAAAAAAAATAAAAAAATCTGGCACCATCCAAGACCATGGAAAAACACTTTCAGAACACAACCCTATACATGTCTTTCTGTTGTATCTATTCCAAAACATCTCTCTGTAGAGACAACCATCCACAAAGAAAGTACATCTTCAGGGCCTTAGCATACTGTAATAGTTCTTAATGGAGCATAAAGACATCACAGAATCTCAGAATTACAGAATGATAGAGGTTAGAAGGGACCTCTGGAGTTCATATAGTCCAATTCACCTCCCAAACCATGTTCACCTAGGGCAGGTTGCACAGGAACATGCCAAGGAGGGATTTGAGTATGTACAGAGAAGGAGATTTCACAACCTCTGTGGGGAGCCTGTTCCAGTGGTCTATTACCCTCAAAAACAAGAATTTCCTCCTTATGTTTAGGTGGAACTTCCTGTATTCCAGTTTATGTCTGTTGCCTCTTGTCCTATGACTGGGTAACATTGAAAAGAGACCAGCCCCATCCTCTTGGCACCTGCCCTTCAGAAACTTATAAACATTGATAAGACCCTCTGTCAGCCTTCTCTTCTCCAGGCTGATGGACTTCAAGAAGTTCTTTTGTTGTCTTTTAAATCATTTGCCATGTTTAATTCCAAGAGGGCTTCAGCCTTCCTTGTTGCATCCCAACAGACTATGGCAATGTTCTTATTTTCCTCTCAAGTGGCCAGTCCCTTTTTCCACATACTGGAAACTTCCTTCTTCTATTTGACTTTTTCCAGAAGCTCCTTGCTCATTCATGCAGGTGGCTTGCCTCTTCTGCTTAATCTTTTGCTCATGGGAGTGAACTGATCTTGAGCCTGGAGAAAGTGGTGTTTGAATACTAACCAAGTCTCCTGTGCCCCCTTACCTTCTAGAGTCCTAAACCATGGGATTCTTCCGAGTAGCTTTTTGAAGAGGTCAAAGTTAGCCCTCCTGAAGCCCAGGCTTGCAATCATAATTATTGCCCTGCTTCTTCCTTGCATGATCGTGAACTCCATCACCTCATGGTCACTGCAGCCAAGGCTGCCCCCAACCTTCACATCCCCAGCCAGACCTTCTTTGTTCATTAGTACAAGGCCCAGCAGCACATATCTGCTCATAATATAAAATACCTGCTGATACCTCATAATACAAGTTTATTTAAAGGTCCAGTCTTATGTCACTGTAAAGACAGAAATTTGCCTAAGAATTCTCAATGGTAATATAAAAGATTCCCACCTCAGGCACCATTACGAGTCCAAAGGTCAGTCCAAAGAGAATCATGTTTATTCCATACATCCAGCGCAAGAATATGAAATAAGATGCTACTGATGAGCCAAAGTGACCTATGAAAACATGAAGTGGGAAAAAAGGGCAGATAAATTAATCCACATGCATTATTTTACGTTAAAATGAAGATGTTTAAGGTTTATTTGAAATAAATAAAATCGGAGGAGGCTTTTAATTTCCTTTATTACCATACCAATAATTTTTTTTCCAGATTGCATACTACCATTCACTGACCTGATAGAGAAAACAGACATTAAAAATATAAAAGTATTATTAATACAGAGTATTTAAGGCCATGTGAAAAGTGTAGTGTTTACTGATATTAAATCCTCTAGTAGTAGGATTCAAAGAAAAGCACACTTTTTTTTTTTTGTTCTGTCTGACATGGATTGTAAGCATTCTTGACATGTTAAGCCAGCATCAGCCCAGTTTTATTAGGAAGGAGCACAGAATTAGCCAGCAGGGTTGTGTTTCCCAGGGTACAAAATACTTGTGTGTGCTATTAACAGCTCTCACCAGAGCTGTTCACCTGGGAAGAACAAAAAGACCTGCACGTATTTGTGCCCTTTCTTTCTCTCAATTTGCTATTTACATGTTCCAGCTGTACCCAAGTGTGGAGGCAGTTCCATCACCAGGTGCACGAATGAAGCATTGGACTCCCCCTGCTCTAGACCCCTGACCTAGACCTGTGTGAGGAGGAAGAGGCTGCAGGGGAAGCAGTGAGCAATAAGGCCCTGATTTGTCCAACATCCTAAAAGTCAGGCCAAACAGAAATAACAGTTCAAATTCAATCCCAGTTTGCTGCAGCACAGCTCTGTTGAATATGGGGCAGCTGAGAGTCATTCTTATCTGTCTGCTAGAGTTCACAAAATACCAGATTTCAGTTCTGTTACCAGTCATTCACAGGAAAAAAAAGTGACCTTTCAATAGGTTTCTCACACACAGTCTAGCTTAGGAGCCTCATGCACCATGGTGGCAAATACTGAGAAGCAAAATCCTCTGTTTTGCAAGCCTTGTAAAAGATTCTTCCATTCTGTAAAATGAGGTTAACATGTTGGCACTCTTTGGGGCAAATATATATGCACATTTCACTATGACAATAAAATCAGTGGAAAATTTAATATTTTTAAGTTGGTATAATCCCAGAGTATAAAGACCTACTGATAAGAGGCACTTATCAGGACTCTGCAAAGCAAAGAACAAGCCATTCTGTCAAGCATCACAGCATTTCAATATCTGCTTTATTCACAGTTCAGAATGAAATCACCATTTTGAAAGTTTGTATGAAGAAGACAATCTTAGCAGTGGTCTACATACTGGGAAGTCTGGGAAGAAGGATAGAACAAGAGACTTTCAGTTAGTCAGTCTGACTGTAATATGCGAATTACTCAGTTAAAGCCCAGCTAAGGCCTTTGGGAATTCTACGGATTCAAACTGAAGTGCAGGAAATTAGGAAAATTTCTGATTTCAAGATATTCTTGATGCTGTAAACCTCTCCACATCACTTTAGTTATTTTGTTCCAATCCTAATATCCCCATTCTTTTGGGGATGGCTTCTTTCAATGCATTCTACTACAGCTCTTTTATCAATTCTCCTGATGAAATCACTGCCATGTATCCATCTGGAACACCTGCATTAAGGCACTGCATTGGAATTACATGCATCAGTATAGTTATTGCAAGTCACAATGCACAGACTGTGCATGGATTCCTTTCTCAACAATGAGGTAAGAACAGCAATCTCTAATAACCGAAAAACTTAGCTGGGGATAAGGATATTTTACTGTGTATGCCCTTAACTACATTTCCAGTGTGGATAGGTCCAAACAGGGAGCAGCAGGGAAGAAGGAAAATGGTACAAACAGCCCATACCAGACGTGAAGGAAAACAGTCCAAGCTGCACCAGTGTTTTGAATCCACTCCGGGGTGCAACATGTTTCAGGTATGAATGAAAGAGTAAAACTTTAAAGAAGACTTTAGCTGTCTTTTCCTGCATCCACAGCCTCACCATATTAAGCACTGGCATGCAGACTGGCATGCATAGTACAAAATTTCAGATGTGGAATGAAGAGGCTCACCCTGTCCCAGTACAGCAATAGATGTTTCTCATAAATTCCTGTCTCATAGATATTACTGAATGTCTATTTCTGTAAGGAAAAGCATCTATTTTCTAAATATAAATACTTCATACATTTATCACCTGCTGTCTTTCTTAAACATCAAAACCCCAGCAGTAGATTCACCTATTCACAACACAAGGATGCAGCACAGCAGAACTTCATGCTTGTTGTTCTGAAGCTGGGCTCCCTGTGCTAGACAGGACTCTCACCCTGAAGCAGGGAGCCTTCCTGAGGTAGCCCAACACTTCATGCTGATACCTCTTGCTTTCCAGACAGGTGGCAGCCTGGAAGAGTCAGGCATAACTGAAGAGAGCTGAGATAGGGAAGGACCTGTTTAACTGTTAGAGTGGGGAGAATTATGAAACTAAGTAGAGGTTTAAGATGAGTCTTCTTGCTAGGCCTTGAATTTAGTTAGCACTTTCCTTTTCTCTTCTTTTTATTACTCTCTTTCTTTATTCTTTATTATTAAATGATACTGTTGATTAAAATTATCATAGAAAGGAACCTCTTCCAAGACCTTTAGTATCTAAACATTAACAACTCCCCTGCTGCCAGTCCACAGGCCCAGCAGAAACAATTCCTGTATAAAGTTGAAGTGTTTGTAGCTTAGGACACACTGTGCTTGTTGTTTAGGACACAGTGTGTCTGTAGCTTAGGGCATAGTATGAAAAATTTAAAACAGGGATGTGTTTTCTAATGCCAATATTAATAGTGATTAATAGTGAATAATATTTTTCTGTTTCCAATACTCATCTGTAGCACATCTAAGGCACATTATTGTGACTGTTGAATTATCTGATTTCATGTGGTCAAGGTGGTTTTTGGATGTCTACAACTGGCCTCAAAATAAAATCAGAATTGTTTCTTCAAACCACACAGGAGCATTTAGGCTCAAGTATATAATTAGCTGGTCTCCTTCTTAGTCAGACCTATCCTAATATAGCGTTTTGTTTATCAAAATTACATTCTTGAAGTCTGTTGAGATTTTCCAGTCAAGCTAACAACTGTAAAGCTTTTCTGAGCATAAACTATTCTCTCACACAAAGATATTAAGCCAAATGAATTTTCCTACAGAAAGTAGTCTGCACATAAATGCCAGACTTTGATTCTATTCATGCTTCTGCTGCTTTGTTTTTGTTTTTTTTTTCACTGGGATCACACAAGATTAAAACAGAACTTGAAATTTCATAATTTCTTGCCTCTCTTTTAGGTATTGTTGAGATGATGTCTTCTTATACCCTGTTAATACTTACATTTCTGTGCTTAATGCCTGCCTTTGGAAATAAATTAGCTCATAGCATAGCATTAGCAGTGACCATGAAGGATATATAAAAGTTTTACCTCTAGTTTCTTTGGGCTAAGAGGCTGCTCATCTAACTAAATTCCCATCTGTTGGAAGGCACAGAAGCCACTCATGAACATTTCATTTTCAAACTTGTTTTACTGATGAAGGAAATAGAACAGATACTTATCTGTGTGTATGCATGTGTTCTGGTGGATAAATAATCACTAAAGGAACATTAGTTTAAAAATGCTAAAGTGTACAGTGATATTTAAAGCAGCTGTACAGACCCAAATATGTGGTGAAGAACTGAGCTAGCATATTTTGCATCATCAGATTTCTAAGAGTGGTCCAAACAGCCTATTTGACTTGTCAGGCTTACGTCATTTCCTGCTTGTTTCATTGTACTGTCTGTCCCTAAAAACAAGCTGCCACGTAGACAGTGCTCCTTGCAGTTTCCTTTATGTAACCCTGTTTTGCCATGAGACTGCCCATGGAAACTGGTGTAACTAGAGACTCACCACAAATGGTGCTGTCCAACAACAATATTTTTTAAAATATTGATTCTGGTGTCCAAGCTTAGCATTCAACTATTTCCTTAAATAATTCTTCAGTATTTTGGGTGGACTGTAGGATACAGTGATTAATGTGAGGTGTTGCCTGTGCCAATGAGATTCTTTAAAGTGTTCAATGTGCTGCATTTAGCAAGTCTTATGGAAAGTCTTAAGCATCCAAAGATATTTCTGCTGTCAGATTCTTTATAAGAAGTAACAGGCACATTCTGTTCATTGTCTGGTGTGATATGCTTAAGTCAGTAGTGTTCCTGTCATTTTACGAGGAACTGAACTGAGACCCAAAAGATAAAGCCATTGGTGCTAGGAGTCAAAGGGGAATCTGGTCTTTGCTCAGTTTGGAGCCATCTGGAAACATTCCTCCCCTTGCAATGTTGCTTCTTCTGCTTCTTTAAGACAACTGTATGGCAATCAAGATGGAAGATGGCTGTTGAAAAGGTGGCAGCTCCTCAAATATGTTCTCTATCTGATCTCTGATCAAAACTAGAGATTTCATCAGAATCTGGTATAAAAAATGGTTTTATTAATGATCTCATACTGACTGCTAAACTGAAATTTGGATTATGCAGAGTAATCCTTGACTCAGCACCAAAAGCGTGTTAAATGCCAAGAAATAGAGAATAACTCTTTCACTAAACTTGATACAATATGGCCAGTGTAGTACATGTCCTACTTACATATAAATTCAGAAGACAATGAGGTTTCTAGAAAAAGTTGAAGAAATTCTATGGTCTCTGTGTCTCAGCACATCTTAACCTCTCCTCTTCCCTTATAAACAGACTAGCTTTTTTCCATTTCATTTTCCCTCACTTCTTTTTTAATATCTGAACCTCCTCTTTATCTGGAACTTGGCAGCTTTATCAGTGTCATCACTAAGATGATGATTTTACTATAACAAATTCATTAATATGAGGTACATGCTGTGAGCTACTGTTGAATTAACTAGAATCAAATAAATTGTGACTTAAAACTATTTTCCTCAGCAATATTTCAGAGCTGTTACCTTAAACTCAAGCCTTATTCTAAATTATAGAGCTTTGATCCAAACCATGGTTTAACTGTACTTACTAATATTCAAACAGAGCATTGTTTCTGCAAATAAGAGCAATTGCAGTTTGCCTTAGAAATATGCTGAACAGAACAAAAATTAGTGGAAAAAGAGTAAACTTCACAATCTTGCCCCTTGAGATCATGAAAAATTATGAAAAGGTACTAACTCACTGCAATTTTTGGATCTTCCAGGTAACACCAATATGTATACATTTCAAATAAATAAAATAAATAGATACAAAAACAGTACTATAAAAATGTCCTTGTTCTTTTTTTTTTTTTTTTTTTTCCCCATTCTGATTATACAATTAAATAAATGTGTCTGTTGGAAGTTACTACCAACAGAACAGATTGTGCCAGGACTGCTCCATTACAGAAACACCACACTCACAAATCCTCAGGATGGCTGCTGTGTGTCCAGACCAGTAAAAGACCATAGCA